GATGCAAAGAGCGGAGGACAGCAAAAGGGTTATTTCAAGCCCAGCCGAAGCCAGGATATCGTGGTATGCTGCATCTCCCAATTTGATGATCGGTCACTCCCAAGATCCAACAGTCATCGTGCCAGCAGCTTGATGAATCAAACAAAACATCAATACATAGACTGCCATAGCTCCACACATACCCTCGTCCGAACCTAGCGAGCCACTAGGAAGTCACGAGGGAGCCAAGTCCTGCTCGCAGGTTCTCTTGGCTTTTTCCTTCAGGTGAACACGTCCAGGAATCCAGTATCCGCAGCCGCCGCAGTAGTACTACTGTACTGCTGTGTAGTAGTAGCAGGAAATCCAGGTTGTACGCCGGTTGTCCAAACAAAAGATTTGTGATTCCGTGAGAGAAGGAGATACCGCCGCCGTCGAAGGGTCGAGGGCACTGTCTGCCAGATGTAGGCTGTGGATAGATTGTGCCACCTATGTGTTCTTAGCCTGCCCGCCCGTGAGGGTCGTGACGAGGCCGCCATGAGTGTGTGTGTGTCTACCTTTCTCTGTCTGTCTGTCTGACTCTCTGTCTCTCTCTTGTCTCACTCTCCCCGTCTCGCGCAGCTCCCCTCCCTCCCCAACAGATCACCGATGCGTTGGTACGTCTGTGTTGCTCGTGTGGCTGACGATGCAACTGCTCGTGTACGTGCCGCATATGACACAAGATAACATTCTCCCTGGACCGATTTTCAAAGCTCGATTATTCAAAAGCAGCAACAGTCGCAAGGCCGAAAACGGCGACGTTGGAGCCGTCTGGTTGAGAGCTCTCTGAAAACGCACTCTTTCGTCTATGCGTCCTCTTCGTCGTGGAGTAATCGAGGTTTGAACATCGGTCGAGGGAGTGTGTTATCTTGTGTCAAATTCTGTAAAATGTTAATATAGGCAAAAAGAAGAAGAGCATTCCTCTTTCCGACGACACGACCGCAGGCTGCTGCACCTGCTGGTGGTTGTCGGTTGGTAGCCTTTGAATGAATCACAATAAGAGTCTCATGCATCTTTACCTTTTCGTTTGCGTGAAAACATTTATGCTTATTTTGTTATTTTGTTGCACACAACTGCTGTTGGTATAGACGGAGGCGGGTGGCAGCTCGTACTACCACGCGGCCGGAGGAAGCCAACAACGACAGAGACGGTGCAATCCACTTTTTCTCCCGGTCGACTTGCCATTCAGTAAACCACTAGCCTGACAAGAAACGAGTGACTTTTGTCTTTTTTTTGGACGCAATCGTGAAAGAGCGACTGTGTTGCAGAAACATGCCAGCATGCCAACCCTCGTACAGCGGTGTTGCAGGAACACGGAACCCACCCTTTCCCATCGACAGATTACCAATACCAACCACTTTAAACGCCCTTTTCTCGTTGCTCAGGTTGATGATAACCATGCCACTGCGTTCGAGACCCCGGAGGTTATGGCCGACGGAAAGGCGTTGGAGATGCTGTCTCTTCGCCGTATTTTGCGCGACATTTTGATGCAACGGCGGGCAGTTGATGAAGGTCGTGCCAAAAGTGCTCAGGCTGAACTCGCGGCGTTGACTGAAGAATGCACATTGCACCTCGTACTTGGCGTCAAGCCGGGGTGCGTGCTTCCAGCGCAGCCAAAGAAGGTATGTTGAGTGCATTGCACCCGTGTAGGATGTTTNTTCGCCGTATTTTGCGCGACATTTTGATGCAACGGCGGGCAGTTGATGAAGGTCGTGCCAAAAGTGCTCAGGCTGAACTCGCGGCGTTGACTGAAGAATGCACATTGCACCTCGTACTTGGCGTCAAGCCGGGGTGCGTGCTTCCAGCGCAGCCAAAGAAGGTATGTTGAGTGCATTGCACCCGTGTAGGATGTTTTGGTGTCGTCTGGTGTCGAGCAGTCAGCGTACTGCTGCAGGTCGCACTCATACACTCGTACACCACGGGACTTTTGTCTTCTCGACTTTGAAGTCCTTTGTATAACATTGTACTGCTTTGCACCACCACAAAACGTTGTTCGTAACTCTCTAGATGAGCATTGGCTTCCACGAAGGGCATCGGATCCAATATCCAAGGTTGCACGCAAGTCATCCCGCCCACGTAGGTACCCCGGGAGGGCCGAACAAAATTATCGTTTTTTCCTATTGTGGGACCAAGGGCTTACTTAGAGCACACTCCACGCCAAGCTTCTTATGGGGGACTAATCGTGCGCTAGGGTTAGGGTTGACGTTTCACTCATTATTAGAGCGGGTTGGAGCTGGCGGGTTGGAGCCTCTCTTGATGTGGTACGCACCAGTTTCGTGTGATCATGGCTTTGGGGTTCGCAAGAGACAACTGTACAGCTCGCGCATAGGGTACCCGGGCAATTAGTGTACCGGTTCCCCCCCCCTACCCCCCAAAAATATACCACATAAGAACTTGGGTACATTGGTAAATCGAAGGCAATATTTTTTGGGCATCCTTGCATTATCCCAAAAAAGTAAATATGGAGTAATAATATTTTACTCAAATGGTGGAGGCCGACATTTGGGGGCCCAAATCGATATCGTTACCTCAATAGCACGTCACAACAGCATATATATCACCTCCTCTTGTTGTCTTTGTTCGTTTTTTAACCTGTTCCATACTCTGGAGGGTGGACGCCGTATCGACGAACTTGCCACTATGGTACTATCGAAGGTGTTACGCACGTCTTTGAAGCTCGCCACGTTGAGCCAGATGGCAACTGCTGGTGGAGGTCGTTGTCGTTGAGCTTCTTCGGCAGAGATTGCTTCTGGCTGCAGCTGAAGCTTGTTTCGCTGGTCCATGCGGCTGCGAACGTAGACCAGATCTCTCTGCTCGTCCCTGAAGGCAAGATAGGCCACGACATATTTGTTGAGCACTCGCGAGAAGCCTACGTGGTGCACGGCGACGGGAGCACGAAATTCGTACAAGCCAACCTTTGTAGAGACAAGATGGTCATGGCTTCGATCGCAAGACTGTACAAGCCCGGAGCTTTCGTGGGTGCCGTAGCATGGGTTGCGGTTTCCGAGGCATTGGGCGTTCCGGTGAACGTGGTTCACCCCATGGACATTACGGCGAGGAAGAGGATGGACTTGGGGCTTGTCAAAGATGGCGCGGGGCAGGAGGTGGATGGAGAGGGATATCAATGGAGTTGCTCCCACCGCCCACAGAAGACCCACCTGTGGCTTTTGCCTGACGCCGGAGGAATGGCTCGTGAAGAAGTGAACATCATCGTGGTGAAAAGCTCCCCGGCCCTGGAAAACCCCACCGAAGAGCAACTGCAAACTGTGGGGGAGGTGCAAAACGACACTCCAAACATCGACGATACGACCGACCATTTTGCGGCCGTTGTGGTGAAGGATGGCACCACACTTCTGTGCCCCATACATTTGATTGCTCCCCGGCAGAGAGCAGCCGACGACGCGAGTGGTAAGGAGGGCTACGACAAGCGGGTTCTTGCATGCAAGGAACAACAGGCCGTTCGAGAACGACAAGCCGCTGGTGTGCAAGCTGGCAGTGACAGTGACAGTGACACAGTGGCGACCGACACGACGGCGTCAGAGGTGGTGGCGGCGAAGGTGGTGTGGCGTTGTTTGCGCTGGTGGTGTGCAGGACAGGACGCCAAGCGAGAGCAGCAATTCCGCCAGAGTAAGAAGCAGCAAGGTGCAGTACGCTCACACCCTCGTCCAGATGACGGAGGGTCCGGAGAAGCAGCCACCCGGCCGTTGCGGCCCCTTCTTGCTGCCGCCCCTTCTGCTCCTACTTCTCACTTTCTTTCTGGGGTGCAGCTCTGCACGATCTGCACATCGGTCGTCGAAGGGAATCGTTGCCCGAACATACGCTGGTGTGGTGGCATTGGCTAAGATGATGCTTGCGGCTTTGATGGCGGCGGTCCAGCACCTAGCTCTAGCCTCTAGTGGTGTTGCTGTGCTGGAAGCGGTGGTGGCAGGGGCGCCAGACTTTCCTGAATCCTCGGGGTTCAACGTGTCATCGGAGGAGGAAGAAGGCCAGTGGGCGGGGTATTTACAATTGGAGGGAGTAGACAATGGCAGTTTTTCTCGGAAGACGGAGGGAGAGGCAATGTGTGAGGGCAGCTGTGTCGTTTTGAGACGTGATGGAGAACGTGTTGCGAGAAGGGCTGGCGCCTGGTGCCCGTGGGCTGAAGATGACGAGGTGGGTTTATTTTTGGCAGTAAATGTGAAGTCTGAGTTGAGGATGTCTTCCTTTGTTGATCGGGGAGCGATGCTGTTCAATGACATAACATTCAGCCCCGACACTAAGAATTGGGATGGGCCACGATGCGCGAGCCCGAGCGGTGATCAACGCGTAGGTGAGAAGAGACACGGTGCATTCGGTGGACCCGAAACATCATAACCCTACAAGCACATGGTGAGCATCGGCGGCAAGAAGAAGCAACTGTGACGAGAAATGTGGCGCCATTGGCCGAGTTGTTTCCTTTCACTGTAAAGTTGCGGTGTGCGGGAGGCAATGCTACGCTCCCTCTTTTCCCAGCGGTTGATTTGTGTTATTTTTTGCCGTAACTCCCTCTAACGTGCACGGGCCCTACCACCACCCCGCCCCGCCCACCTTCAAACCAGTGGATAGCCGGGAACTTTCTTGGTAGGGAAAACAGCAGGCACGGCAGGCAGAGGCCTGTAGGACATTCCGGCGATCCTAGCTCGAACGGTGACAGAGGCGCGAACGGTGCCGGCTGCGGACAGAGTGAGGGTGGTGGTAGTAGCGGAGCAGCCGGTATCGGCGTGGAGGGCGACGGCAGAGACGCTCATGGCAATGGGCATGGGAACCGTGGTGGAGGCGGGGGCGCCGGGAGTGGAGGCGGGGGCGCCGGGGGTGGAGGCGGGGGGTTTGACCCTTGCCAACATGTGTGCATACTCGGCGGATGCCCTGGGTACACCTGCAAATTCGCGAACGACCTGACTCACGAGTGCCTTAGAGGGAACTGTGCGTGCATGCATTGTCATGTGTTTGTGGAGGAGCACGCGCAAAGGGAACGCGAGAAAGCTGAGGGTAGGCGGGAGTGGCAAGCTGGGGGTAGGGAGGCGTCGCAGCGGCGGCGGTCACTGGACGAGCAAGCAAGGCGGGAGAGGGCACAGGAGTGGTTTCAGCAGTGGCAACAACAACAACAACATTAGCAACAGCACCACTTAGGCCAGGGATTTGGGGGGGGCGTCAGGTGGAAGTAGGGTAGGGTCAGTCAGGGGCTCCGCGGGTACTGTTGGGGGAGGACGTCGAGGACAAAGAGCGCGAGGGGGTGGAGCGGCAGGGCGTCATGTACATATACAGCCCCAGCCAATGCCGGCCCACCCGGCGCCCACTGCCAGGACGACCATTCCCGCCCCCCAAATACCGGACGGTATGAGGCCGCTTGAGTGTTGCTGGAGCTGTGGGGGAAATAAGACAAAAAAGTACGCCGGCCCTCTGATGATCTGCGCGTCAACTACGTGTGACTCTAGAGCACGGAAAACGCTGAGGTGGATATGTCCGCGCCCGGCATGCGCCAATAGAATTACGACACGTTCGAGTGCTGTTACTGTGCAACTAGAGATGCCACGGCAGCAAAGGACTGCGATTATCACACGTGAGTCGGTATTGGGTGGGTGTTGTCGGTATTCAACAGATGTTCGGGCTCACTGGCGGCACCTGGCTACACTCACCGTTGAATACAGGTTATCACGTGTCTTTTATTTTTGGGATGCAGCCGGTGCTGTTTGTCTGCAAGAGGAAGATCTACCGTGTACCCTGATCCTTCACGGTCGTTCATCGCTCTTTTTTCCCCCCATGTTCATGTGGCACTCGTTGTTTATCGGGTAGGGGCGATACCGACGACACCCAGATAGGGCAAGTCACGCATATTCCGTCTGTCTCGTGCTTGGGGTACCTCAACCGCCATCCTTTCTCTCTATCCCGCCCCCGCTCGTTGTTGTTTCTGTGCAGGTGCAAAGTGGAGAGGTTTAGGAAACAGAAGAATGGGACAGCAGCGGCTCAGGGGGAAGTGCAGCGGAGTGCGAGCTCGAGGATAGCCCATCGCAAGACACCAACGGATGCGTTCAGACTCCCGCGCGCTGCGAGTGACGGCGAATCTCTCTGCTCGGTGTCAACTACTTATACGACAGGAATGCATCGTGTGATCGTCATCATCCGATTTGAAGAAGTACACAACAAGACCACACCTATCATCAGCTGTACGGGGAAGGCGTGCAAATCGTGAATGGTTCGATAGGCTCATGTATGGTGCATATTTTTTTGGTGAAAGCTGTTGTCATCGATCATGGAGATTGCCTCTGGGGCTCCACGGGTGTACGTTGAACGGTTGGTGCAGTAATGACGAACTTGAACCTTGAGTCTCCGACAGATCTACATAACTTGTTTGGGCACAAGGGTGAGCGTGGGTATTTGGAGATTTCGCGGTATGCTATGCGGGTTTAATATTCACCCTTAAGAGTCCTGGCGCGGTCCGAGAGGTACTAGGCAATAACGATATCGTTCTGGGGTTCGGCGTCGTATCGTTGCAAGCTACGTCACGCAGGGTGGGCGGTGCATCACGGCAGGCTCTTCTAGACAAGACACCGCTGTCGGTGGCGTGTGTGAGTACGCTCACGTCGTCCTCCAAGACGGCCGGACCATTGCGGACAACATCCCGGCAGCTGAGCACGTGACCTTTGACCCTCCACGGGTAGTTGAGCAGTCCAAAGCAGTAGCAGCGAGCGGCCATACGGGTACCAAGGACGCGAGAGATATTAACTTTGGCCGACGCTGCTACCAGCTCTGGCGTGCCGCTCGTGGTTCGCCTGGGAAACACGGAAACGTTTGCGGTGCGCGACGTCAGCCGATCTGTGCCTGGTAGCTGGGCGCACGTGCAGACTACAGATATCGCGCGCCCGGCAGGATCCAGCCCGCAACAATTAGCCCGAAGGAGAAGCACGGAAAATGTCAAGATCCAATGCAACGTGGATGTCGCTTTTGTGGATTTCGCATTTTGTGTAGTACCCTGCCGGGTACTCCAAGTATATTGCAAATAACATGTGTCGAAATAGCAGCCTAATCAAGAGCACACAAAAAAAGATCCTACATCGTACATCGTACCCTCCCCCCCCTCCCCGAAGGTCAGAAAAATAAATAATTTGTCTTCGTTCGATGTTGACGGTTCAAGAGCCGATCGAAGTATGACGCGTAGAGAGGAAAACTCTCATGCGCTTTTCGAGACTTTGGGTACAGGTTTTTGGTGGTGGTGCTCTCTATGGATGCAGTATGACGAACTCAACAGACTATCTGTGAGGGTTTCAGAGGGATCGCAGACGCGTGTTCTCGTCCGCGCGCCTCCTCCCTTTGAGAGAGAGATCCGGAATAAAGTTGCGGGTGTTAGATGTTGTCAATGGTGCGTTGACCGGCGTGTGTGCCTTTGATTTATCCGGAAACATGCAGGCAAATAGTGGAGCTGCATGCAGCGTGGCGCACTCCAAGCCGGATGGACAGAAGAAATACCAACATGCCTTAGTGGTCGGGCTTAGCGTTTTGGGCGACCATTTCAAGAACAGCATGGGTGTGGATGGTGGCGGCAATGGGGAGGGTGGAAGGAGCGTGGAGGTTGGCACTGGGAGAGCAGAGTGGAACGCGGGGGGTGAGCGCAAGACGAGCCTTTCTCGGAAAATGAAGCACCCGATGAACATCATCGGTGTGTTGAGGTTCCCCGTCAACCCCAAGCACCATCTATCAGCAAGAGCCCGCCAGATTCTGGTCGAGGGCAGCGACATCCCCTGTCACTAGAACGTGTGCGCAGCATGCCTTCGGGGTCATGCCGTTTTGGACAGACAAGAAGCGATAGCTGTAAAAAGGGGTATTATTATCAGGCCGAAAAAATACGTATTCGGTTACGAAACCGTACTTTCTTGAAATATATGGAGGCGTTCCTCGACGTTTCCGAAAAAAGAGCGAAGCGTATTTTTTCTGGGCTTGCTCCTTGTACTGTTCGGTGAAAAATTTCCCGCTTTTTTCGACGACCGGAGCAGACACCGGTCACGCGTGCTGTCTTCATCACACCACACCTAGACAGCACCACCAACACCCCAAACCGCTTCCCGAGGCAACTCCACTACCATGGCTGAGCGCCGGAAGCGCCAGCATCCCCAGGGGCCCGCAGCGCAACGCCGGGAGAAGCGCCGTCGAGGAGCTATCGACGAGGTCGGTGCAGCCCAGGAACACAGGAGATCTCTCACAGTCCTGGGTCTTCTGTAGTGGCGGCGGGCGTGGTGGCAGCAGGAGAAGCTCATCGTGCCCACTGCCCTCAGGAACGGGAGCCCATCTATGAGCCCAAGCGACTTCCGTGGGCCCAACACGAGGCGGACCTCGATAAACGGCAAGACTGGAGGCGGTCGTACCGCATGGAGAAGGCCAGCTTCCACAAGCTTGTCGAGCTACTCCGCCCTAGTTAGTTGTGTGTTCCGTGAAGAACACAGAGCCGTCTCACAACCCTAGTCGGGAGGTGTATTGGGCCGGTACTCTGACGAGTTAAACGATGACATGCGTCCTTTGACGCTGGCGATTGCAAACACACCCCCTATGACACTAGTGCATATTTCCTGACCGACACACGCTCATCCTTCGAACATTATCTGCGCTTCGCTCCGAAACCCCACAGCACTGCGATCGCCAATCAACGGCGCCATAGCTGTAGAAGTCCGCGTTGCCGTGGCGTTGAGGATCCTGGCTGGCGCTAGTTACTGGGATGTTGCCCTCATGTTTGGCTTGTCGGTGCCGACCACGTACCAGATCTTGTGGTCGGTGATCGACGCCATCAACAAGACGCCTGCGGTTGGGGCATTCGACTTCCCCCTGACCGAGGAAGGCTGCATGCGAAATGCCCACAGATTCAAGGTGAGGCCTAACGGTGGTCATTACTGCTGCTGTGGGTTATTCTTGGCGGCATCCTCTTGACCAGCCGCGGGATGTCGTTTTTTTTTTAATTACGTCTGGCGTTTCCAGCCGTTTTAGTGTAGGGAGGCCTATACACAGCCTTCGACGGTAACGCAGGAAAAAAAATGTCGTCCCCGGCGGATACAAGTTCGGATTGTCATGGTGGTCAGCATGCCTTTAATCGAAAAACAACCCCCGGGTCCCGGGTGGTTCGCCAGCTGTTGGTCTTTGTACAAATGGCCTTTTTACAAGTAAATGTTTTTTTTTGTGTCATCATTAGTGTATGCTGGCCGCGTTGGTTCCGCCCCGCAACAGTGGCCCGGCAACTGCTTTTTGTCAACCACGTGGCTCTGAGATACCCTGGTACATTTTTACCGCTGAACCTGGCGCAATATTAGCATTAGCAAGCACGGTATGTGCACCGTTGCTGGTGATGGCGCCGTCGCACACGACATCAANATCCCCGGCGGATACAAGTTCGGATTGTCATCGTGGTCAGCATACCTTTAATCGAAAAACAACCCCCGGGTCCCGGGTGGTTCGCCAGCTGTTGGTCTTTGTACAAATGGCCTTTTTACAAATAAATGTTTTTTTTTGTGTCATCATTAGTGTATGCTGGCCGTGTTGGTTCCGCCCCGCAACAGTGGCCCGGCAACTGCTTTTAGTCAACCACGTGGCTCTGAGATACCCTGGTACATTTTTACCGCTGAACCTGACGCAATATTAGGATTAGCAAACACGGTATGTGCACCGTTGCTGGTGATGGCGCCGTCGCACACGACATCAACCCACACAACGTACAGCCGAACGCAATTTACCGAAGTTCGTCAACGTCCATCTCTCGACAATTTTTTTCCCCTTCCCGGCACCGCTTCTTTCCCGCCCTCGTGTCTGCCGTCTACAAATGCAGGAGTAGAGCACCGATGGCATTTTCTCCTGGGTCGTCGCCGCCGTGGATGGTCTGTTCATCAAGGCCAAGGCTCCGTGTGCGAAGGACACCGCCAACGTCATCGCGTACTACTCCGGCAGCAAGTCCGCGTACGGCATCAACGTACAAGCGATGTGCACCGCCGACTACCGGTTCTGCGCAATGTCGGCGATCTCTCCAGGCTCCACGAACGACTGGGTGGCATGGAATCGATCTTCCCTCGCCAAGGCCGTCGCCCGCTTGCCCGCCGGATTTCACATCATTGGTGACGCCGCCTACCCCATCGGAGAATAGCTTCTGACGCTGTACCCTGGGAGGCTCCTGCCGCCGGGTGAGGACTCGTTCAACTTCCACCTGAGCCAGCTTCGTGTCAAGATCGAGCAGAGCTTCGGCATCCTGGTTTCGACTTGGGGCATTCTGTGGCGACCTCTCCGTGTGCAGTTCGGAGGACGCGCGGATCTCATCACGGCTCTTTTTCATCTGCACAACTTCCTGCAAGACGAGAAGGTAGCGCCGATCCAGCTTGCAGAGGAGGACTCCCGCAGCGGGCGCAACCGGCTGGCCCTCTGTGCTACGCAGCGCACCTTGCCGGCTGGCTGGCAAACGGAGCAACCGGCTCCTTCGAGGAGCGGTGAGACCCCGGCCCGAGCGGCTATCCGCACGGCCCTGGAGTTGAAGAAGCAGTGGAGGCCGGACTACAACCGTCGGAGGAATTCGTAAGCACGTATCCAGCTCGCATCGCGTCGCGTGCGCACAAGCGGGAAGTGGGGACGGGTCTACATAGGGGCGGATGGAGGCGGATGGGGGGGAAGGTCGCTACTACAAGCGGGCGAGAGGCGCGGCGGGGGGGAAGGGGAGGGGGGTGGGGCGCGCGGGGAGGCGATTCTTGCCGTGGTGGGTACACTAAAAGGGCGGGTGAGGCTGGGGGCTACATGAGCGGATGGCGGCAGAAGTAGGCTAGTTTCCACGGGATGACGAGACGCGTGAAAGGGAGGATAGCG